GCTCATGAGCCTCTGGGTCAGGACTTCGGGCAGGGGTGGGTCAGCAGGGCTGGCTTGTTTCTATTCCACTAGAACCAGCAGCTCTCTCATGGTGCTGCATTCGCTGGGCTGGGATGCAGGGTCAAGATGGCCCCACTCTCAAGGCTGGGTGCCTCAGGCCCTTTGCACGTGACTCCTGTCTCCATGCGGTGTCTCATCCTTCAGGCCCTCTTTTTCCACGTGGCCTCCAGCAGGATGGCCTGGGGCCTCTGACAAGGAGAAAGCGCCCACGTAATACTTGAATCATTAAAACTTGATGGCAAATAAAATCTATTGCCTAATGAATGCAATGCTCTGTGATTAAATACTTCTGGGAAATACTGCACACAGCATCTCTTCCTAGAGATTCACTGTGCAAAAAATATGCTTGCTAAAAGTTCTGAGAGGTCCTGCAAGGAGTCAAAAGGAACATCCTTTTTGGTGAAAGGAGCTGGTGAGAAAGGCAGAGGACACACTGTCCCCCCACCATCTGCTCTTTTCTCTGGGACTCATGGAGGGAGGGCTGGCTTAGAGGAAGCTGGAAGGCTTGGGCCCACCTTATGAGAAACTCCTCACCCCATCCCCAGCTCTGCTCTGCCTGCCCCTATCAAAGTACAGCATGACTGTAGGTGGCTGTTTCTGACCCCCAGGCCTGCTGCACACACGTAAGGCCTGCAGGAGGCGGGTCACTGCAGAAGTCAACAGTGCATCTCCTGGAATCAGGTCACCTATGTCTCTGCCCTCCCTGCTGCCCTGCCCTGGTCTTGAACTAGCTCACCTTCCTGACTCCTGCTTCTCGTTTGCTTTCACCCCGTGACCTGCTTTGATTAATTATTCCAGCCGATCTGGATTCGTGTGCCTGTAGTTTGGCCCTGATGCCTGGTGTCCGTAAGCTCCTTGGACTTTCTTTTCTTTCTTTCCTTGTATTTAATTTGAAAGTTAATCCATGACGGTTTTCACAAATTCAAATAATACCCAAATGTGATAGCCTCGCCTTGTCTGTTCCAGTCCCACAGTCTACTGTCAATAGCTGTTCCCTTCTGGGTGATCCCGTGTTTATATAAACACACACACGTATGCATATATTTAAACAAAAAGGGTATCAGTATGTGCATATAGTGTGGTAACCTCCCTTCTATCTAATGTGGTATCATGTACCTCTTTCCAAGTTGGTACATACTGACTGAGGCAACTCTTCTTTTTTGTTTGTTTTGTTTTGTTTTTTAAGATTTTTACTCAAAGATTTTTTTTAAATTGAAGTATTATTGATTTACAATGTTAGTTTCAGGTGTACAGCATAGTAATTCAGTTATACATTTATGTATATATTCTTTTTCAGATTCTTTTTCATTATAGGCTATTACAAGATATTGAATATAGGTCCCTGTGCTATACAGTAGGACTTTGTTGTTTATCTATTTTATGTATAGTAGTTAGTATCTGCAAATCCCAAACTCCTAATTTATCCCTCCTCAACCCCCTTTCCCCTTTGGCAACCACAGGTTTGTTTTCTTTGTCTGTGAGTCTATTTCTGTCTTTAAATAAGTTCATTTGTATCACTTTTTTTTAGATTCCACATATAAGTGATATCATGATATTTGTCTTTCTCTGTCTGACTGACTTGACTTAGTATAATAATTTTCAGGTCCATCCATGTTGCTGAAAATGGCATTGTTTTATTCTTTTTTATGGCTGAGTAGTATTCCATTGTATAAATATACCACAACTTCTTTATCCAGTCATCTGTCAATGGACATTTAGGTTGCTTCCACGTCTTGGCTGTTGTAAATAGTGCTGTTGTGAACACTGCGGTACACGTATCTTTTCAAATTAGCATCCCTCTGGATAAATGCCCAGGAGTGGGATTGCTGGTCATATAGTAAGTCTATTTTTAGTTTTTAGGGAATCTCCAGACTGTTCTCCATAATGGCTGCACCAAACTACATTCCTACCAGCAGTGTAGGAGGGTTCCCTTTTCCCCACCTCCTCTCCAGCATTTATTGTTTCTGGACTTTTGAATGGAGGCCATTCTGACCAGTGTGAGGTGGTACCTCACTGTCATGTTGCATTTCTCTGACAATCAGTGATGCTGAGCATCTCTTCACGTGCCTGTTGGCCATCTGTGTGTAAGCTCTCTTAAGAGCCGCAGTCCTCCAAAATATGGAGGTTCCTTTATTTATCCAGCTGTTTCGCTCTTGATCAATGCTGATGTCAATTCTTACTGCTTTCTGCCACTGTAACCAGTGAGGCAGTGATTGTCTCGTACACAGATCTGTGCACATTGATGCTAGAGTTCCGAGGAACGAGTTTCCAGAAGTGGTGGTTCTGTATCCTAGGGCTTGCCTGGCCTTCCCTGTCTCATTGTCCTCTTGACCCTGATGTCCTAGAGACCCCTGCCGTCACCTGCCTGCCTGCTCACACCATCCTGTCTAGGGCCTGTCTGCCTGGCTCTTTCCTGGAGATCAGTCCCCTAACACCTGCTCACTGCAGCTCTGTGCAAGTTGCTCACATCAATGGACCACTATGCCCCAATAATAGCACTTGCCACGTTGTGTTACCATTACTTTTCTACTGGTCTAATTTCCCCACGAGACCAGAAATTTCCAAAGGCATCATCAGTGCCTGGCATGGGCTTGGCACTCTGTGAAGGAATGAATGAATGAATGAATGAATGAATGAATGAATTCATTAGCAAATTTGACTGAATTCACACTGTGTGCTGAACACTGGCACTGTGGACAGACAGCTATTAATAAAACCAAAGCCCCTGCTCTTGGGTGGGCGGAGACACCTGATAAACAACATTATAAATCATCGGTCAGATGGTAAGAAGGGTCATAAAGAGAAGTAGGCAGAGGACGACAGTGGGAGAGAAAGCTACAGTTCACAGCAACGTCTGAACAGAGACATAAATGAGGTGAAAGACTGAGGTGGACTGTCTAG